TCCGGAAAACTTTAACCCTACCGCCAGAGATCTCTCCTTCGGTTTTGCGTAAACAATACTTCAAGGTTCTTGGAAAAGGGGTTTTTCGGTCGGGTCTGAGTTGGGTCTGCGTGCCATTGGAAATGTCGGGGGTCAAGCGTTGTCAACTTTTATGATATGTTGAAAATGCATTGACAATGCTGGCGAACAATGTATCGCATGTTTGTGATAAGGGAGAAAGCAGAGGTGTGGGATGAGATAAGAGATTGAAATTCTGTTTAAGGTTTGGTTTATTGAAACTAAAAAATTGATAGCTTAATATAACGTGGAAATTAAATTATATTAAATCGGAGCAACTATTACTATGCTCTTTTTACACTTTTTATAAACCCACTTTGAGCAATAATCTCAGGTTTTTGCCACATATTTGGCAACTTTACAAAACTTAAATATCATGTCCGATTCCTTTGTGTTTGTCGGTTTCGCCTGACTGCATTTCAATTTTAGAGATTGCAACTGTTTTTGTGTGCGTCACATTTAAAGTGCCTTGCCCTCTGGCATGCGGCACACACAATTCTCCATCATAACTGTCAAAAACCGACAGAAACTCATACCGCATACTTACATACATTCATATATAGAGCGACACAATTGCAAAACATAAACAGAAAAGTTGTAATCACAGCTGTCCGGAGCGAGAGAAAACCAAGCCCAGATATGATGGACCATGAGGGATCTATGGCTCTTAATGGGGCAAAGTGGGGAGAGGAGAATGGACGGGAGTGAATGATATGAGGGTTCTGCGAGCGATAATCATAATCAGCAAACTGTTGTTGCAACTGTCACTGCATCGGACACACACACACATTTTATTTATATTTTTCCGGCCAAGCAGACGTTGCCCCAGCAACAACCTCTCGTCATCGTCATCAACGTCAACATATGGGTCTGCCGCATTTCAGCATCTGTTTTGAGGTTCCTGCTGATGAAACCACAGCGGCGACACTCATTCGTTTTAATTGTTATCGTCAAAATGTCAACTTTTATGCTTTCTCTGAAGAGTGCAGCTCTAAACACACTAGATTTATAAGAATACACAATTAATTAAAGAATAACCGTATGATACTTGCACACAATAAAAAAACACGCTGGAGTCAAATTGATATGCGCATGGTAAAGCTCTGGTATTTATACGCATTTAGATTTTACCATGCAATACTGGTAAAATTGATAGTAAATTTTTAGGAGATTCTCTGATTCTCTGAGGAAGAAGCAATTTTTACATTTCGAGCATATCAATTTGAGATGAAGCATATCAAGTCAAGATTAATACCGCTTCACTTGGTTCTATAAATATTTCTAGTTCCATTTCAAACATATCCCATGTTGACAACCTAAGCTCACTGTGCGTGCATTTGTGTGCAATAGCTTGTAAGTGTGACACAGAATGTGTAATTTGCACTTAATTGTCACAAATAAGCGAAAGGAATTTGTAATTTTTATTTTTACAACGCACAATCCTCAATGGAATTGAGACCCCACCGCTCCCCCTTATTTTCCCCTTTGGGGTGTGATTAGCTTAGTTTCCATTACGAGGAAAGGCTTGGCCCAATTTTCTGTGCCATTTAATTAGCATTTTGTAATACATTTGTCGTAATGCCCCCGAGTATTTCATTTTCCCCACACTGCAGTCGTTGTTGTTGGCGGAGAACTTTTCATTTTAATTAAATTGCTTTATTGTCCAGCGGTTTGTCGGATGATTACATGGATTGCATCTGTTGGTGGAAAAGTCGACAGCGAGGCGTTCAGCTTTAATGCAAATTAAGTCAGTTTGAGTGATAGATATATATTTTCCAACACGCACAACCAGGAAAGAAGGTGATGTCATTCGAATGCACTTTAAGGAAAATAAAAATGAAGATATAGGTTTAATTAAAATGTATTATTAGAGAAGTTTAAATATCTTAACACAAATTTCATATTTGCAATACATTTTATTCTATATTCCCTTTCTCCTATTTATTCTTTTAACTTCTAAAAATCCTTAAAAATCTCTGGCATCCCCTTAATCTTCGTGCGAAAATAGTTAAGAATGGGGCGTGGCATGACAATACATTTCTGTGGCATACGGTTCGGTTTAGTGGGTGCTGATTGCTCGTTTCTTCACCTTTCTTTTCCCTTGAACTGCAAATGTGTTTATCGCCAGCACTTAACCCATTTAAGCCGGGTCCTGTGGGTGGTTTCCTGGTCCCTAGACCACACCCAGCAAATGGGGAAAAGTGCTAAAGCTCGCCCCATAGATTCTCCGGGGAATTGATGAACATGCGAGTGGAAAATATATATGGCAATATGCCTGAGTTTGCTTATATCTAACAAATGACCGTCCCATTGAGTGGATGATGACTAGGACGAAATTCACCCCTCCGCTTGTGTAGCTTGTGCAACCATATTTAATTACCACAAATTAATTAAATTAATGAATTGTTTGGCGAGAAGATTTCCAGTCATTTATCTAAAAATTAGCCAACCCAGAAGTGTTTTCTTTTTTTTTCCCCCTTCATGACACATGGTTTTTCTTCAAGTTTTAGTGCTAATGATGTATATCTGTTTATTTCCCCTTATAATTTTTCCAGTTGAATGGGAAAATTAATTTTTTCTTGTATGCGATTATTATATGTGATATACGAAGGGAAATATAAAACTTTTATTAGGCTTATAAACTTGATGTTGATTTCAGTGTTAAATTGGGTTGAAAAGGAGGGGAAGAGAAGAGCTTTCCCGGCCAAATATCAACATTTTGCTCCCACTTTTTGTTGTGGTGCCATTTTTATGTCGCTTTCAGTAAAACCGAAAAGGAAATGGAAAATTTTCCCTCATTCTGTGTGTTTGTGGCCAGATAAAGTTGTCATTTGGGGCAGACGGATCGGATATTGTAGAATATTGGTCATTCTGACAACTCTGTTGTCCATTATTTCGAGAAAATCAATTACGTCAATGGCAAATAAAAGTGTTTGCAAGCAAAAAAAATCCTCGTAAATGCGCGTTTATTGTTGGGGATTTAAGTGAAGGCAATTTGTACGCGAAATTAGTGCCAACAGTGCAGAAAATATTTGCTAAGTATTTTGTAATATAACAGGAATACTTTAATTACTTGAAAATAATACTCTTTCATAATTTGTAAAAAATGTAAAGATTTTTTTAAACATTTTAAATGTTATAAAAGTTTTTCCTCTTAAGCCAAGTTTTTAAGCTTCTGTATTTTTTGCCTTAATTTTTTTATGACCTTTGTCAACGATTTATACTGGTCATATAACAAAGCCATTGATCATTTCACAGGCTCAGTGCGAACGCCTTTAATCGCAAATACATTTATATATTATGACATCAGCCCGAAACCCACGCCCCATAAATCTTTCTGAGAAGTGGGAGGAAAACTGAAGAGAAATGTGCTCCACTTGTTGCCGTGCCTTCCCTTTCCAAAGCCATCTGTTTGGGGTAATAAACATGGCCCTCATCTTCTCGCCCCGCAAATTCTATCCTCAAAAGCCAAAAAACCCCCAAAAAGGCAGTGGAAGACATTCGCTGTCGTCTCGGCTAAACAATAAATGTCATATGGTTGGCACATCAACACTTTATGTGCTTCACTGGCCCCCAGAAATGTCCTTGCTCTTATTTTTCTGGTTTGGGATAAGCAAATGAAAATCTTTACACGCTTTTAATTTCCTCGCTCCCCGAAGTATGCAGAAAATGTTTTCACATCACACTTTCACTCATTCATTCTATCTGTTCATAGCATTTTTATAGCCCAAATGAAATAAAAATATGACCAGCAGAAAATTAAGAATGTGAAATAGGAGACAGGGGACAGAGACAAATAAACAAAGCTTGGCGCTCATCCTTCGTTCCACCCACATATCATCCCTTCTTTGGACATTTATTCCGTCACTTATTTGGATCTGTTCCATATAAAATGTATAATATATACAGTTTATACCCATTAGTTGTGTAGAAAAAGGCTATATCGATTTTAGGGTATCATTTTAAAAAGCTTAGTCCTTGAAGATGATTTAAACATTTTAATTTATTTAAGGAGATTATTTTTTTTATTTGGTTGGCTGTGGTAACAAGTATAAAATATTCGTAGATATTTTCTTACAACTTCTCTTGGATGACTAAGAAGGGAAGACCTGAATTTTCCCATTCCTATTCTGCTTTCTAGTTTATGACTTCAATTTGGCCAAATGAGTCGTTAATTTTGACTTTTCATGGGTCATAGCACCCCCGTTCAGTCGTCTTTTCGACTTTGTCCAGAGGCTGAGTTAGTTTCCTTTTCGGGCCCACTTTTATTGTAATTTTGTGGCCTTTAATTGAATTTTATTAGCATTTGTACTTATTATTTGCTCAGCTCGAATCCCCTTTTCCCTCTCGACTGCCCATTTAATTGTACTTTTTATTTGCTGGCTTCGGGTAGGAAAATGGGGCACGATGGTGAATCGGTTTCTGGTTTCTGTTTGTGGGGTAGTTTTTCCCCTCAGCTCGTCTCTATTACAACTTGTGTGCGCATCCAATGAAAGTTTGTTTTAGTCAGAGAACCAGCAAAATGGCAGAAATCAAAGAAGACCCTGAAATAAATGTTTTTCTCTATTACAAATTTATAATTAACTTGGCTCATAAACAACACTTTAATATCTTTTTAAATTATTTAAATGTACTTTAATATATTCTTATGCGTATTATTAAACGCCTTTTTATTCTTTTTCATTACAGGTAAGGGCTTGCAAAACATTTGAAGATATTCAAGAATATTTCTAAGGGGTAAGACTTATATGATTTTGAATTTTAAACCAACGAAATCTAAACAGTTTAAATTATGAGTAACCTTAATGGTGAATTTTTAAAAATGAGAACTGAGTTCTTAGTTGTCGTATATATTTTTAATTTTTTCTTCCACATTTTTGGGTTTCATTATAAATAATTAACAAATTAGTTTACATAAACTACTGAAGAGTAACTGAATAACCTTTTTGCTGTTGCAACCTTAAATTATGGTCGATATCTTTTGGTACGAATGTGATTCTTACGTTTCTTACGTGTGATCAACTTGACGTATCGAACTTTAGTTCGACCTCTGGATCGAACGGGTCTGGATTTAGGTCCCTTTGAGGAATTGGTAAAGGAATTGGTAGTGGGCCGCGACCAACTGTTGCTCAGGGTGGCACTCGTTGAGGAAGGCTGCCAGGACTGGGAAATCATATCATTCGAAAAGTTGCTGCCGTAGGGGTCAAAGTTTCCACCTCCACCGGATCCATAACCAGATGCTGGATTATTGGCATCTTCCAGAAAATCCTCCATTGTGGGTATGGATGGTGAGATGCTATTATCCTGACCGCTAAATGCCACAGCACTATCATAACCCTGTGCGTGATCCTGATCAACTTCTTCCGATCCCGATGGATAATAGCCGCCACCGTATTTGCTGGGCGTACTCATCACCATCACTTCCTCGTAATCCTCGTGCTGTGGCTGTTCGTCCTGGTAGTCTTCAAAGTTCTCCGATAAATCCTCATCTTGATAGTAATATGGTTTGCTCCTGAAATAATTCGAAAACTCCTTGTTTGAATTTCTAAGTTTTGAGCTGGATTTCTTTCGCTTCCGTCGTCCACCGAACTTGGAGAGATATTCCCTTTGCAGAGCCTCTAGAAAATTGTTATTAAGCAAAGAATTGCTCTCCAACTGATTATCCTCGGCCGAATTGTCCTCATCTTCAGTTTTTTGAGGTGTAAATATTTGTTGCAACAATTGTTGCTGCTTGGCCATCTTTAAACTCGGAGGTCTCATTGTCGTTGTGGTAGTTGTTGCACTCAAAGCCGACTCCTGATTGTAATTATCGAACAAGGCCGGGCCATAGTTGGGCATCAAATTGGTGGGCGATGGCATGAGAGTGGGCGTGGCTGCCGTACCCATGAGCTGCATTAAATTGGGCGACATTGGTCCCGAATTTCCCACCGCCGTTGTATAGCCCAAAAGTTGAACATGGGGTTTTCCGACGAATTTCGGATGCATTGTGGCGATCGTTGTGGGCGGTGGTGCCGGAACCGGGTGGATTTTCCGCGGTAACTTGTAGACGTTGTGGAAATGCGTATGCTGACGCACCACCTCGGGCATATGGAGACGGATGTGGACGCTGCAAAGAATTCAGGAAATTTATAAGGATTTATTTAATTACAAATTTCTAATTAGATCTTACCGCTCCCCGCTACTTCCGCCCGGAATCGCCGCGCAACCCTCGAAATTCAATAGCAACAGGCTCCATGTGCAACAGATGGCGATCCAGAGAAACGCGGAGGACGAGTGCTGATTCAGGATATCCAGATCCATGGCTCCATAACTTATGGGTGCGCTGGCTGTCGACCGACTTGTGACGCATCTCTCTGGTCAGTCGCCCACTTTTATTGCCTTGCAGCCGGAGCAGATTCAATTTCATCGGCTTCGGATGGAGATGCTCACTGAACGGAAAAGATGGAGGAGGAGAACTGCTGCATCTCAACCTCACGTTTCCAATTGCCATTTTCATTTGCTGCCAGGCCAGCCAGCTTCCAATTTGTGGTGCCGACTCCCTCTGACTTCCTTCGAAATCTCTCTTGCTCCCTCTCTCTTTGATATTCGATAGGTTTGAAAGTCGAGCGACAGACGAAAAAAAAAAAAGAGTACATGCGGATTTCCATGGAAAGCCTCAGTCAAGTTTGGTTGGAAAAGCGGCGCATGCGTAACGTTTTCAATTTCAATTTACATCTATTTGTTTTTGTTTACGCACTTTGCTCGCTGACTTGATTTCGTGTCTCTTTCTATTTGTCCTGCTTTAGCTTGCATGCCGTCTCTTTTTGTCCGACTCTTTCGGTCTCTTTCTTTGCAGTATAGCTTTTAATGAAGCCGGAAAACTGCTCAAATAGGAGCATCCCAAACGAAGACCCTGAAAAGCTAACAAGTTTTCCAGAAAGTCTTTCTAGTAGGGAAAATATTTAAAGAGTCCTAAAGTAGAAAATAAAAAATAGCTTTCCTTTTTTCCCCCTATCTTATCATAATAAATTGTAACCCCCTCAAGTTTGAAGCATATCGCAACATTTTTAAAAAATCTGTTTTACACTCTCCCAAGCTAGTTATCCGCTACTTTAACGACTTTTACTGGAAGTCCTTGAATTGAATCTTAAGCAAGACACGCTCCCCTTTTATGTCCTATTTCACCCACTCTTTATCACTTATTTTTGCCGGATTCAGTTTGGCTTTTCTTTTCTGTAAGTCGGTGGGGGAAAGTCTTACTTAACCTTGGTTAAGTGCCAAAAATACTTGGTAAGCTAAACGCAGCTAAACAGAAAATGCAGCCAAGTAACTTCCAAGCCACTAACTGCAGATGAAAAGTGAAGGAAAAGCTTTTGGGGCGGGGGAAAATGATGTGTCCTTTTCTTCTGTTTGGCTGGGTGCTTTTCCGACAGCAACGAACGCATTTTGGCAGCCGAAACGAGGAGTCAATGAAAGTGTTTTCGTTCAAGGATAACCACAAACTTTTCCCCAGCCAAAATGGTCTTAAGCTGCTTAGCCCGAATTTAACATTTAAGATCGGAAGCCAAGCCAAAGTGAAAGGTTCTCCAGGTTTTGTCTAGCCACAGTCTGTTCAAAGTTTATTACTCCGCGTTTATTGGCTAAGTAAAGTTAGGAGGAGGTGGGCCAACAAAAAAAAAACATTGTTAAAAGGAGAGGTGAAAAAATAATAAGCGTTCAATGGCTTTTTGCACTTACATCATCCATAATAGTTGGCGGCATTCGGGTAATCATCTCTCGCAATGATGATGATAATGACGATAATGCGTGAAAAAGGCAGCCACAAGTGAAGGAAAAATAACTACGGAACCCGTCAGTAGTGAGAACCTAACAACCGACAACAAAAATCACAATCACCCACCGTTAAATCCAAGCAGCTTAGAACATGTATGAAAAAATGACGTGAAAATGGAAGGAATGAAGCAAAAGTATTTTTTCTGCTAATAGGAACTTTGGATGCCCTTAAATCTTATTTAATAAAAAAAGGAACAAAATTGGGAATCTTGAATTTTTTTTTAACATTAAAAAAATTTATATATAATTTATAGTACTTTTAAATAATTTCTTTATTTCTAAACCGAAATTAAAGTCAAATTGGTTTTCTTCAACTCTAATACATAAAAGTCAGTGTAATAGGCGTAAAAGTTGGCAAGTTGGCAAGAAGAACAGCGAAAAGATTAACAAGTCATGATTATTAGTTTGAAGAGAGCTATAAAAAAGGAGGTGGAGCAAATCATAGAAAATCGGGGGCGGCGAAAGAATCTGACAAAGTGGGCTCTGAAGATTCTTTATTCGAGTCCAAGAAAGGAGCAAGTTTAATGGTTTCGGGAGATGGGGAGATGATTTTCAGCTTCCTATCCCTCTAAAGTTGCAAGTATTATGTAGAAATGTTTATGTGTTGCGACTTTTGGCTGACCTTTCTTAAGTGGTTTTTGGTCTTAGCCAAAGTTTTTCCGGCATTCGTTGGGAGTTTCGTATTTTTTCCTCAAAGCCATTAACACCACGTATGTGTTAATGCTACCAGCAACTTCACGAAGTGCATCTCTTGACCTTAGCGTATATTTTGCGCCTGGGGAACCCAGATTTTATAGTAGCAATGGGGTATGAAAAGAGATGTAGATCAGGTTTTTATTACTTAGGGCATCTCACTTTTTTTTAATGTTTTATTCTTACAAATATAAATTTAAAAACAGGGGTATATAATGAAGGGATATTATGATACTACAATATTTTACAATTTTTGTTATTAATTTTGTTAAAAAACTTTTCTAACTCTGATCTTACTATCATAATTGCCATCAAAGCTTGGGCTTGGCAACATGTTGCCAGTCTGACCTTGGCCTTAACTTTGAGCCAAGCTCAACAACATGTTGTTAGTACGACGACAGCAACAAGTTTGCATCTTTTGTATGGCTTTTCGGTATGCTAATGAGCAATGTTGCCGTAGATTTCCACATGTCTATGGTTTGTGTCTTGGCTCAAAGGGTCAATGTCTTGCTTTTGACCATTGTTACCGCTTTCCGTCTCTTTCTCAGCTGTTACGCACTTTGCGTTTAAGTTAATTGTTGTTTATGCTGCGAGCATTTGCTTTACTATTATTTTAAGTACCATCATCAGTGGGTCTCAGTTTTCCCCGTGGGTCAATGCCCACCTTGATCGACCGTCTTTATTTTTTAGCTCTTTTTTTATTGCTGCGCCTACCTTTCTTCATTCCCTTTTCCGCTTTTCATTCATATTTAATAGCAATTTGTAGACCTCAGTGGCGATTGGCGTTGACCATTCTTGTGAATCATTCAAAATATAAAGTGATGATGTCACGTTTGGGGTGTTAAGCCCGCCCCTTTTTCTCTCTTCCTCTTTTCACCTCATGTATCATATCCGGCGGCCTGTTTGTTTAGCAAGTTCTATTCATTCTCTTTTTTCACGTACTTTTGTCTACAATTCTCCGTTCGTCATGGGCCAATTCTAAATGGAAAGTTTTCTAAGGTAACCAATAAAACGCAGAATTAAATTCTACTTAATACAGAAAATTAATCCGTTTGACAATCAGCATTTTTACATTTATTTATAGGGAAATAAATATGAATTTTAAACCAATTAAACGAAAAACCAACTGCAATGCATCTTCAACTGTACAGTGCTTGCATAACTGTGGATATTACACCAAGCAATTTGCCATCCATCTCATTACCCGCAAAGTTCCGAAAACAATTTGCATAGTTTTCCAAGTGAACTGGAAAAACTTGCTACAGCAAGAGTAAGAAGTTGATAAATGGAAATGGTTATGGGAGAGAAAAAGAGAGAGAACGAGGAAAATAAAAAATAGAACAAAAACTTTTGCCTCAGCCATTTGAATAATTACAATCGATGGCAATAAAATGAAGCGATTCGCTGGGATTTCTTTGATGATACACTAACTTGAATAAAGTGCCAAGTGTTTCGACCATTAAATGTGGTTGCTTTTATCATGGTAATTGGTTTATTTGATTGATATTTAAAACCCAAGAACTTAAAGATATCTACGGGCAGTTTTATTTTGTTAGAAGAAAAGGAATGATATAGAAATATAATATTTTTATAATATTTTCTTATACTTCATTTGGCTATCAACCTGAAGTATCTCGTATTCGTTAACCGCATCGTGAGGCTTCCTATTCCCAGTTCTTTTTTTCTTCGTGCAGCGTCAATATCTCAAAAGTTGTGCTATGTAAACTGGCCTAGAACAACGATGCAAACACACACTTGAATGGCCAGAAGATACCGCCGTGAATGCTAAAGCCTTCTACCTCTTTGGTCTCGGCTTTCAACTGGTTGGGAACTCCAATCCATCGCCCCTTTTTCCCTCTTAACCAACTCTGTCTGCCTGAACATCTGGGCCTTCTGGCTGTGGCTTCCTGGTTGAGTTTTATTTCTTTTATTTTTTTTTTTTGGCTCCGCCGAGATTTGCAATGGCACAGAACATGCAAAGACATTATCTCCATGTGTTTGTCTGCAGCTTTTTCCACTGCCCTGTTCTTTTGCTGATGCTGCTGCAATTGTTGTCCAAGCTGTAAATGTCAGTTGGAAAAAAATAAGAAGTAAGAAGATCTGGTTTGTCCTCTGCCAGCACGGATTTTCTTCAGTTTTCTTTGCCTGTTTTTGGGTCATTGGCCAATGGTTTTTATTGGCAACTTTCTAAGCCAACTTTCCACGGTCTAAAAAGCGTCTAGAATGTGCAGCAAGTAGGCAATTAAGACGCACGATAATTAGCATAATAATTGGCTAGATTCGATTTGATTTGTTTTTTGTGGAGCACAAGTTCATTGAACGAATTGGCTTCCTCTTCTATTTATTTCTCCTTTGTGTTTTTCCATAATGATTGCCCGAGACTTGATTTCATTCGATCCGGGATGGTTCGTGCCGCTAATGTGTATTTGATTAATTAAATTAATCAACTGCTCGATCTGCGAGTCTTGTGTGTGAATCAATAAAGAAGGAAAACGACGCATAAATAAATCTATAAATAAAATTGATGAGGGTCCTCCTTAGGGGTCCACTAGCTATATCTCCGCTGTCTGTGCTAAACTGTTGACACCATGTATAAGAACGTGTATTTATTTTTTTCCAAGTCGGGCTTTAATATTTACTTGATGGGTTTTTGACTGGATTACGTCAGTGGTAACATAACGTATAGTTTCGGGAAAATGTTTTGATAAAAGTCATAAATGGTAGTTAAAGGGGCGGCCGATTGAAGTTTGTGTAATGAAAGTTGTTAATGGAGTGTTTAAAGTCGTTGATGAAAGCGGACGGTCTTACGG